CACTCAAGAAGAAAGGCACTGCCCTATCACAGATTTCTAATAGACATATTAGAACTAGGAAGAGATAGAGAAAGCTATGCTCTAAATTATACACATCACCTATGTCACATGACAACCAGTACCTGGTGCACAAACAAGAAAGTAAAAGAAGATTCAAACACAGTTTGGAGAATGTCCTTTGTTCTCTTAAAGGAAGCAGAAAAAGACAAAAAACTACAATACTAGGGAGAATTAAAGCACTTTCTTTTCAAAATCCAAAGTCAGCAAGAGTCAGGATGTCAGGTTTTGTGAGAATTTATAGATTTCAGTGCTGCAGCACAAGCTGGTTACTCTCTATATTACAGAAGAGTGAGACCTCCATCCCCCAAATAAAGCAAAACTGCCATTCTCCACCGAACAGCATCCTAGCCCATCTGCCAGTCCCTGATGGTTCCTTAATATTTGTTCCTTGTTCCCGTTTCAAAGCTATGAATCTAACACCTTTGGTCTTGGTATTTTGTAATCCTGGCCTGCCTATTGGTTCTTCTATAAGTCCTCAGTTCTGGGTGAGCTGTGACTAAGAAGGCACCAATACTTTGTGTCTGGCAAGACATAGACTCTAGTTCTTCCTGACTGCAAAAGTCAATCTTGTTGCAGTGGAGAGGTAGGCCTATTACTAAACTATGGCCCTATCTGGTTTTCCAAGATGTTCACTCCATTGGAGAATTAAATGCAGAGGATAAACTATGCCTAACTATAATCTAAGTGCCTGCCTGGGGCCCGAGTACAATTCCCACCGGAAGCAGCTACATAGAGCTTTCTCATTGCAGTCTAAATCCTGGGATCAAAGGCAGAAGGAACTGTCACATTTCTTTTAGAAACACCTCGTTCTTTTGCCTATTGTGAGATCACCTATCTTGTTTTCCTGATACCTTCCTGGAACTTCTTCACACAGCTTCTCTTAGGTCACTTCCTTCTATGACTAATAAACATCTCTAGGAAATTTCACTGCTCCACAGCTTCAGTATGCTGTGAATTTCAAATTTATATAGAATATTAGGTTCTCCAAAAAAATAAACCAGTGAGAGAGATAAACTCTTCTAATCATCCCATGTTTAAACTTCTTAGGGTTGATTAATTCCCTAGTTATCACAAACTAACTAAATATTTAAAAATAACAGGAATGTATTCCCTCATAATCTCTCATATATATATTTGAGAGAGAGAGAGAGAGAGAGAGAGAGAGAGAGAGGGAGAGAGAGAGAGAGAGAGATATGAAGCCCCACTATATGCTATCTTCAAGCTGTAGACCCAGAAAAGCTGATAGTGTATTTCAAAAGCTAGAGAAGGGTGTAGTCAATAGTGTAGATTCTAGACTGGAATGAGTATCTGAGAATCATCAGTGCTGAGGGCAAGAGAGAATCAGCATCCCTCGTCAGTCTGGCAGTGTGAATTTTCACTGTTTTGGCCTTTTGTTCTCTGTGAGTCTTCAATAGATTGGATGAAGCCTAACACATTGAGAACGGCCATCTACTTACTCTGTCAATTTATGCTAATCTTCTCCAGAAACACCTTCCCCGATATATCCAGAAGCAACGTTTGCCATTTATCAGGATATTTCATGACCTAGTCAATTTGACACACAAATTAACTGTCACAAATGATATCTTCATACATAAATTTCTTTTTAATCTACATTCTCAGTTGCCTATTTGGACTGTCTGTAGGCATCTCTAAAGTTCCTCAAATTGAGCTCAAACTCAGAACTAGGCTATTTCTCCAAGAGGAAGTATCTTTTACAGTCCCTGCCTCAGTTAATGACACCAACATCCACCCAGCCCTGTAGCCAGGAGCTCTATATTGCCTCTTCTGTCTCCTTCTCCTCCTATATTTTGTCTATTCACAAGGTTTGTGACTTTTGAGACTAGAAGTTCCCTGTATCTTTACTACCATTACTCAAGTCTAGAGACTTAGATTCATGCAATAATAAAAAACTAATAAAAAAGCTGAAGCTTTATTACATAATGGACAGATACTATTTTAAGATTTTACATAAATTATTTCTTCTAATCTGTATGTATTGATTTGCTAGGGCTGACAGGAAATTGTGACAAACTAAGTGACTTAAAATAACAGAAAAATTATTTCTTGTTATCTCTAAAGGCTAGAACTTGAAATTGAGGAATTAAACAGGGTTGTAATCTCTTTGATGATTCTATTGAGAGTAGTCAAGCTTGTTTCTTTCATTGTGACACTCCTTGACCAATCGCTATATCTCTGCAATCTCTGTAATCACCCATCTTCAGTTTTTGCATTTGGAGCCTTCCCAGTCAATCCAGGATAATCTCTTCATTTCAAGATTCTTAAATTAATTACATCTGCACTCATAGGCTGCCATTTAATCCACTATACTCTATAAAGTAAGGTAGCTATTAGTGTCACAAGATACATGAGCCAATTAAGACACAGAGAATGTAAGGGATTTACCCAAAGTTAACATTTCAAAACCAATTTCAATAATCTCTGAAAGGAGTAACTGTTTTGAGAAATTTTTCACTTTGATGACAAATATGATTTCATTAATTCATTTACTCCTAGGCTATCCTGTACCACTAGAATGCAGGATACATCAAGATTTCCATCAGATCTCCTACTTTCTGAGGTCTCCATTGTACCTTGGGTAATACCACCGCATCTTTGGTAATATCACTTCATTGCATCACTTTCTTAGGGGCTCCCAGCAAAGAGAAATGACCCTGTCACATATTACCTTTATTTTCAGGACTTCCTCTTAAATATGTGTGGAAATCTGCATAAACTCATGACTTTGCAATCTAATAATATTGGAAAAACCAGAATGACACCAAGGTCTGCTGCCAGCTTAAGTAGTAGCCAGGCTCCTGGACCGTAACTGCAGTGGCTTTTGAGTGCCTGAATGACTCAGCATGGCAAAATGAGTCTCACAGAACCAATTCTCCTCATGGTTCTTCTTGACTATTGGACCCAGGGTATCTCTTCCTAAAGAAATGCTTACACTTTTGCACCCTGGGTCTGCAAAGGTTGGGATCTTGTAGATTCCTGAGTTTTTCTCAAGGCATCTTTTTTCTCATCCCAGCTCAATGCACTCAGTTTGTTTTTAATCACACTGATCTCTTTAGTATGCACATTTTTGGCCCCAACTTTATATGTGCTGTTTTTCTGATCAAACTACAAATTTTTCAAATATTTCTTCTCTATTTTTAGGTCTTGATTTTCACTATAAATCTGGCTAAAAGTAGCCAGGAGTACCTATGCCACAGCCTGAATGTTGCTCTGTCTTGGAATTTCTTCTGCCAGATCATTTAGCCAGATAATTTAAAATCAGCCTCACAAAATGCTGGCAGGCATGAACAAAATGTATCAAATTCCTTTCCAGAATGTAACATGAATGACCTCTTTCTACTAATAAAGTACTTATTCCAAATTAAAATCCTTTAAGTTTAACTTTTACTGTCCACATTTTTATCCCGCTCTTCTGAGCACCAAGCAGCATCACTCACTATGTATGCTCTACTTATAGATTCAAAGTTCCCTTTATTCTGCTTCTCTAAACTTTTCCAAACTCCTTCTGCAAGGCAGTTCCAAAGGCTTCTAAATCATGTGATCATGTAGAGTTTAGAGCTATGATCTCCAATTTTCAGATTACAGTTTTCTGTATTGATGAACATTCCCCTCACAACTTAAAGAAGGAGAAATTTACTTTGACTTAGTAACTATAAAGTTTTCAACCCCTAGTCAGCTGACTCCAAGACATAAGCCTCATGAAGGAAGGGTATGATGGAGGAAAGCTGTCAGCTAATGTCATCCAGGAAGTAGAGAGCAGGGGAAGTACCCAAGAGGAAGGGGCCAGGGACCAGAAAGAGCTCGTCTCATCGTTGTGCCCACATGACCCACTTACTTCACTAGGCGCCACCTTCTAATAACTCATTCAGCTATGAATTCGTCAATGTTCTAACTCTCACAATTCACTCACAATCTTTTCATCTCTCCAGGAATCTCCTTATCCAGTGGAAGTGACAATCAAGATTAACTGATAGCCACTCATTAAATTCCTAATGACAAGTGTGCGTCTTCTTGGTCTCTTACGTTCTCCAAAGTAGTTTTGTCGAACGAATATTAATTTAAAGATAATAAACAGAAGGGCCATCTAAGAAAAGTAGTTTTCTATGATGATAAGTTATAAAGGAACCAGAGAAAAATATCTAGTCCCAACGTAAATGTCCTTACTTGGTGTAAATATCTAAAGCAGTAAATAAAACCTCAAAGCTGAAAGGTAAGCCAATACTGACCATCAAATAGAATTATTATGAGAAATACCTGTGAAATGAAATAGGAAGCTACTTTATCTCTATTAGAAGTGAGAAATAAAGAAAAGAAAAAATATTTCAGATAAATACAGGAAATAGCTTCTGGTATTTTGTTTCTATTTAAGTCAAACAAGCAGAGCCTGGTTGCAAAATAGGTAAGGATGAGTTTCCTCGTGATGCATGGTACTTCTCAGGTTGGAACTAACAGCCTCCTCCACTTTCGTTGTCCCCCACTCTTTGCCCCACAATACCAAGTATCTATATCAGAGCAATTCACCCTATTGCTTAACCACCATATTTTTCTCTAAGCAAAATTTTCCAAATCATACTATAAAATGACAGTAATTTTTAAAGTACTTATTTTGTGTTGTTATTTAAATCTATTTCACCTTGTCTTTGGTGATATCAGAGTATAGTGGGTCATATCACCCCATGTATTTAACTTTCATATATCTCAAGGTAGCTCTTGGAAATTGACTATATCCTGCCTTCTACAAACAATTAAGTCAATTTCTTTTATGCTTCTAGCATATTGCTATGTTGTTTTAGTCCTTGTAAATAGGCCCACAGATGTCAGGCTCAATCCATTTTTGCTGACCTTATAATCACATGAAGTATAATATTATAAGAATAATAATTTCAAATTGCAATGATTAAAGGCTTATTCCAACTTACTGCTAATGCAGTTTCATATTCTTCAGCAGCCAAGTGTGCTAAGCCCAAGTAATAGGAAGCTTCTCCTTCCATTTTTTTGTCATTTCCTAAAGAAGATATAAAACTATTAGGATATATTAAAGAACTCAGTTTCTCACAACAGACGCTTTAGTTTTTAAAGCAGTGGAAGTTTATTATTTTTAAGGTATATAAATTTACTAATGATTTCAAAAACCTAAACATGCACCAAAAAGGGCTGGTGTGACACAATTCATCTGGTTCCCAGATGTCAGAGTAAGTATATATCAATATGCTTCTGAGAGGTTTTTTTTTCCTTTGTATACAAATTCAACAACCTATGAAGAGAATTATATACCATGATCAAATGAGATTTATTCTAAGAAAGCATAACTGGTTCAACATATGCAAAGCAATTAATGCCCTGTATAATGGTAATAGAAGAAAATCCCTACACGATCATCTCAATTGATGCAAATCTTTAAAAAACCTTTCATTCAAAAACTCCTCAGCAAATTTAGAGTGATATAAGGCAATTTCCTCAGCCTGTTAATGGCCATCTAAAAAAACTCTAAGCTACCCTCAGCAGAAACAAAACTGTATTTAGTGGCAGAAACAAAACTGTATTTGCAGATGACATGATGTTTAACAGAGGAAAGATCCTCACACTGAAATCTACAAAATGTTCCTGAAAGGAATTAAATGATATATAAATAAATAGGCAGATAATCCATATTCATGGATTGGAAACTTGTTGTAAGAATGGAAGTATTCCTTAAATTGTTTGATAGATTCAGTCTAAGACTTATCAAAATATAGTTGTTTTTTCTGCAGAAATTAATAGATTTGAAAACTATTTGGAAATGCAAGTGAAAAGAAGACGCAACACAATAATATAAAGAGCAATGTTAGCAAACTCATTTTCCAATTTCAAAATTTAGCAAAATTTTTTTTGCATACATGTAGATCAGTCCTAAATATAGTTTAAAATATAAAATCATAAAATAAATTACAGGAATAAGTAATTGAGGCGCTGGATTAGTCAGTCTTCTTAGTTATGTTATTGAATGCATAAAAAATAAACAAGACTTGATAAAAATTAAAAACCTATGCTTCAATGTATGCTACTAGAAAGTGAAGAGGGCCAGGGATTTAGCACAGTGGTGTAAGCACCTGCCTGGAAAGCACAAGATTGTGAGTTCAACCCCCAGTACCATAAAAACAAAACAATAAAAAAGGTGAAAAAAAAACATACAGAATGAAAGCATTTGCAATGTATACAGCTGATAAAAAACTTGTATCTGTAATATATAAAGAATTATAACAATTCAATTAGACAATCCATAAAAAATGGGCAATGAATCAGAATAGATTTTTCTGAAAATAAAATACATAAATGGCTATGAAATACATGCAAAACATGTTCAGCTTTATTAGACTAAAGGAAAATACAAATCAAAATTACAAAATTACAAAATTACCCTTTTACAGCTACTAAAATGACTGTAATCAAACGAATGTAAGTAACAAGGAAGCAGCTAATGTGAAATCCGCTTCCATTGCGGACGGAAATGTAAAACGGAGCAGCTCCATTGGTAAGCTTAGCAGTTTCTCAGAAAGTTAACAGTGAGTTATCGTGCAACCCAGCAACTTCACTTTGGGTATACACTGAAAAGCACTAAAAACTTGTAAAGGAAAACTTCACTGCAGCATTATTCATTACAAATAAGGCAAAAAGTGGAGAAAATTCAAATGGACAGCAACTGGTAATTAGATAAAGAAATGTGCTAAAACCAAACAATGGAATATTTGCAGTCATGATACATGATACATGGTAGAAGATGAATGAACTTCAAAAGTACTATGCTAAGTGAAAGCATGTTTGACTGATGACCTACATGTGCATTACACCAAGGCGTTCTGGCAAAGAAATTGGCTTACAGTGGGTCCCAGTACCCCTTAAATATACAGTAAACCGGTGTGGGAGGCATGTTTTTCTAGGCAATCATCAGTGTGCCTTCAAGTGCTCTGACCAAATAGACGACAAAAGGAAAAAAAATATTTTGTTCCGTAATATTTCATCTGTTGTAAGAGCTCTATAAAGTATCGAGCAATACTTAAACCTCCATATGGAACATGTGGGGCTGAACTTTATTGGCTTTGAAAGCTATTAACAATTATTAAGGCAAAAGAAGCAATTTTCTTCTGTTCCTCTTACCAGTCCTTTGGAAAAGGAGAAATACTCTCTGAAAGAAGACAACTTGGTAGCCCCTGTCTGCTGGAAGAGACGTAAGCAGCTTTCCTTTCTTTGTTAAAAACTTGCAAATGTGAAACTAAATAAATGTCTTTTCCCAGTATATATTCATTTACAGTAAAATTTTCAGGTTATTTTCCATGTGACTTGTTTGCTACTGAAATTGATCTAACAATTTATATTAGTCTTTTTCCCTGCAGAGAAGGTACTAGATCATTTATTTAAAAGCAGTTCATTTTATAAGATACATCTTTCAAAGAGGGTGACTTCCAAAGAATATTTCAACTAATGTTATTAAAAGAAGTAACAGACAAAATAAACTGTTCACTTTTAGTTTTTTGGTAGTTCAAATCATATCCAGAAAAATCAGTCCTGTTTAAGTAAGCCATGGGTTACTTAATAAACCAATCAATTAATGACATTCATGCATTAATTAAACTATAAATGTCTAACTTCCTTTTCTTCTTCATGAAAAGGCTATTAATAAAATACAACATGGGAATAAAATATCTTTGCATTTCATACATTAGAAGCTTATAGGAATATGTTCCAAATTTTCCTCATATTTTATACATACACAAATAATATAGCATATTGTGAAGAGCTTTCACAAAAATGTTTCCCTGCTTTATGCATATGTATGCTTTACCTGCAGATCTTGCTAATCTGCAGATTTTACTGTAGACAGTATGTCTGGGGAGGGACTCAGGATGCTAATATTTTATGTTTCCCAGTGATGCTGATGGTTTTGCTCTAAAGGCCACACTTTGAGAGGCAAAGGTCTAAAATACACTGCACTTGTTTTTCTGTTACTCCTAAGTAAATATTTATATTTTACCAATTATCTGACAATGGGGAATTTATAAACAATGAAAGATCTCTCGGATTCCAAGAAATACACAGTCTTTAACACACACACACACACACACACACACCCTCCCTTAACTTTTGCAGCTGACCTTATCTTCTCTTGTAGATCCCTTGTTTTACAACAATACCCCCAGTGGACTGTAATTTTGGAGATAAAGCTTTCAAGAGACTAATGGATTTCTTGTTGTCAGCACTAAGGCAGCTCTGTTTCACAGTGAAATTCGAAAAGTATATTGATGGCATTTGTCTTTGCATTTCATAAGAAATAATCACCCTACCACTTGACGATTTTTACTTTACTCTTGGGAGAAGCCGTGTCTGTCCATTAAAGAAAGCAATGCGAGAGTGTTCTTTTCCACCCACCTTCTTTGGCTATTTCAGAAGCTTTTATTAGAATTTTGATGGCCTGTTTGTATTCTTTATTTTCCAGCATTTTGTCTGAGAGTAATCTGTAAGTCCTCAGGAGACTTTCGCAGGCCAACAAGTTGAGAAAGCGGCCTGTCTCATCCTTCCATATCCGGCCCTGCGTCAATTGATAGAATGCTTCATAATGCCCGGCAGCCTCCAGAAGCTGACCTGAAGAATAAAAGCCATTCATAAATATAAACCACAGGCCAGAGCACATTTTGAAAAATCTTGTGTATGTCTGAGCTTTACTATTAGAGGAGGAAATACCACGGAATGCAGCAAAGAATGTCTAAGGCTGAAAGGAGGTACACTGTGAAAGGGACTATCTCTAATTGGACCACAGATTCGGCCTTAATTCTGGCAAGACATCTGAAAGAGGGGGGTGCTTCAGTTAGGAGAGAGCGACTGGGTTTGTGTAGCTTTGAGACACTCTGAAAGCTAGTTAACAGCAAACACATTGGTGAGTATTTATTAAACATGTGTTCAAGGCATTGCACTGTGTTCTACATACATTTAATTCTTGAAAGTCCTATGGAATGGGACTGTTATGATTCCATTCCACAGAAGAGAACACTGAAGCCCAGTGAGGTCAAGAATTTTGCTCGATACTGCACATATAATGAGACTTCAAAACTCGTACCCTCAAGCATTACCCTGCAGTGCTTTTGAAAGAGATGGGAATTTCTTTATTCTGAGAGAAAGTTTAAGTATATTGAAAGAGAATATATGTTCTACAAGTTTCAAGTCCAAATATTTTGGATCCTTAAATTCCTTCTCAAAGTTTGAGAAGGGCATTTGCATATGTTCAGTTTTGAATAGTTGGAGTGCAGTTTGTTTTTCTGGATTATTCTGCATAATACGGTCCAAAATGTACCTTCTCAAAGTAAAAAATCTGAATTAGCCTGAAGATTTTTCATTTCTTAAAACAGGAGTTAACATCTGTTTTGGAAGGTTGGTTTGTAGTTCCATGCTGTGAATTACATTTACTTGTTATTTGCCTTATACGAATGCTCACAATATCCTGGAATGTAAAGACTCTTTGATGGCACTGTAGTTACATCCTGGATTTAACTGCAAAAAGACTTTTCGGCACTCCAGGTATAGTAGTTCAGAGTGAAGGCAGGTTTTCAGATGACAGTCTGTTCTTATCTTGGCTTTATCATATTTTGCTTAGTCTTAGGCTTTTTATTGCCCTCTATGCTTGGTTGATTCTTCTGTGAAATAGCGCTATCATTTACTATTCAAGGAATCATCATGAGGATGAGTGCATGCATGTTCAATGTGTCACAGAGTTAATGCTCATAAGCCCAATTACTGCTATTAGTAAAAATATTTCTAAAATATCTAATAGTCAATTGAAATACAATCACTATTTGTGTTCTTTAACTCTAAATTTCCTTTCCTGCATAAGGCACTTTATAACATTATCATGACTGATCAAACTAATCTTTACATGTCATATCAGGCTAAATATATTTCCTCAAAAGTGTTTCACTGGATAGTAATGTAGGCTGGAGCCGCTGTCATAACTACATTTAATTTCCACTTGAAGTCTTGAATTTGTTCTTAAAATTAGTATTAAAGAATCCACACAAAAATAACAGTAATGCCCTGACAGAAAGACAGTTGACAATGGTGGATCATTAGCAATCAATCCATACAAAATTGAATGAAGTCAGACTGGTGTGAATCCTTACTGTGCCTCCCTGGACAGCATGCCAGCAAAGATATCCACAGCAAGGACACCAGGCACTGAAGGGTTTTCATAAACTTGTATTATGAAGCTTTACATAACAGGAGACTACAAAACCATACATTTGATATTAAAGAAGCTATCTGATTACACAGACAGGTATTTATAATAAGTGAATATTGGAAACCCCTCAGGAAAATTTACAAAGCATGATCTCTGAGAGATAAAATGATGGGTGAAGGATGATTTCTCTTCTGAGTTTCTTTCTTTTATTTACAATTTTTATTTTAAAGAGAAAAAAGCAGAAAAAAATAAGAAAGAAACAAACTAAACATACAACAACAAAAACCCCAAAATAGTAGTGATACAGGATTTCAAGACAAGATGATAGGAATTTAACAACGGTTGTCATATAGATATTGTAAAAGCGAAAGCAACTTCTGATTTTCTTTTTCTTAAGATATTTTTCTCTTAGCATAATGACATTTTCTTAGGTTTCTATTATCAAAATGTTTATTTTCTAATAAAAATATACAACAAGATGTCTAATCCATTTTTTACTGTGATACAAAGGCTCATGGTTGAAGCTCAGTGCTGTAATGTATCCTTACTTTTAGCTGACAATTTTTTCTTACCTCCTACAAAAGCAGGCCATAGTTTTTTATCCCTCTGCTATAGCACCTCTCTCCAGAAACACCTTCCTCTAAATACTCATGACCCTCATTTTTTAAAATGAGAATGGGCCACTGACATATAATGTGTGTTATGTTTCCTCTGTTAACTATATTTCTGCCTGCGAAGTATAGCTCTGTATGCCTGGAAAGATGTATGCAAGAGCTCTTTTTTCTCCAGTAGCCATCTATTCACAAAGTATAGATATATACTTCTTTTGCGCCATGTGGTTAGGGAATAGTAAATACAGGAAATTGTGAGGAAACCAGGTAGCACCAGAAAAAGCTCGCCGAGGGACTATAAAGAAGAATATGCTCCAGGTAAGCCAATTAATTAGTTTTAGACGTAAATTAGGCATCGTAGTGGAAAGAGCAATGAGGACAGATATCCACACCCATGATTTTTTCTAAAAGGAGAGGTGGCGGGGACAAGGGTGGGGAGGTGGGGGTTGAAGTGGGAAGAAGGATGCGGAAGAAGGCGTGTGAGCGAAACTTCCCTCTGTCTCTGAATCTTGTGGCTACTAGGTGTCCTTGATGGGCTGTCAGAGGGATGCAATAAGAGAGGGACACAGGGACATGGAGTTGTTATGGAGGGTGACCTTGAGATAATTAAAAATAGTCTTCTTTGTTGAATCTGATTTTCGTGAGAGTTTGGAGGGCTAGCATCAAGATACTGCTCCTGATTATTGACCAAGGCTCAAAGACTCTCAAAAGCTTTACTTGAGGTCCCTTGTAAGGAAGAAGTCTGAAATGGTGAGGTAGAAGAGATCAGGAATTCATCTTTCCTGAAGGCCTGCTAGGCTGTGGTCAAAACAGAAGGCTTCTTCCCCACATATTATATTATTTAGCTTTCCCAAAACTGCTAAGGTAGATTGAATATTACTTTGTTTCTACCGAAGGGCAGGCTGAGGCTCATAATATTAAATGACTCAAATGTAGAAGCCACATATACCATACATACAGCTGGTTCTGCCACATTACTCAACAGGAGGAGACTCAGGAAGCTTAGGTGGTGTAGGTTAAATTCTCTGGACACAAGCCTCTTGTATCTAAAAATAATGCTGTAGTTAATGATTTCTAATCTCTCCCATTATTACAATCCTATGACTCTACTCAGGTTGTCACAGGGGGCTTCTTTTTAAAGTTTAGACACTAGTCCCTCGGATACTTCTGATGGTTCTTTCTGAAGGATGCTGATGTATAAGGAACAACATCTACATTCTCTGCTTTCCTCTAAACACTGTGGTGATATCGCTGACCACGTAGGGCTCCTTGGGTGTTCCATACTTAGTCATTCATAGTGGCCTGCCCATTTTTCACCACCTTGCCAAGATGAGGTCAGTGGTCAGTACTGTCTTAAAAAGAAATGCCAATACAGAAGTAGGGTTTTCCAGCCTTTCTCATCTGTAGAGTTTCACTTCTAAAATTATTTGGTAGGATATACAAAACAGTACAATTTGATTTAAATGACTCTAAGTTCTCAAATGACGTGGCTATACTTCCTAAAGACTGATCAGAACTCAAAAGCCCATATTATGACATAGTATAATGTTTGATTAATAATATTAAGATATGTGTGTGGTGTAAAGAGAAGTAATTTAAATATATAAGCAATTTAAATATGCAAATAATCCCTTTATTCACGATTAACAGTGGTATGATTTCTATCTGATTGCTAATTCCAACTGTGAGTAGGACCTTAATAATTATTTTCCTTCCTTATTGAAGGCTCTGAGACTGAGTAGATATTTACTGAGACATAATGCACACTGCTTTTACTTGAAAATTTTGAATTCAATATTACTGAGAGGGATAGTGTCAAAGGCCATACCAGATCAATCACTCTGCCAAAGCTTAAGGTAAACATCAATGAAGATAATAAGCCAGACTTTCAAATTTAGCTCACAGTATGCAACTTCCTCAAAGTCCCCCTTTTGTTCCCAAATTGACTTTACCATGTCAGAACTCGGTAAGATTTCTGGATCCTACTTTCAATCTTTTAGGAAGACAAGGACATGAGTTTAGTCCAAGTGTTCAAGAACTGTCTTTTTGTGGAATGTACCAAAGTGTTAACATTACTTTTTTACTCATGAAGCAGAGCAGAGGGAAGCAAAGTGATGACACCGAGGTATCACAAAAATAAAACTTAACAAAAGCAGAATGGAAGAAGTCTCAAGGAGTACCTACGAATGTTAAAGGACTGCTGAGGGGAAGCAACTGTGTTGTGCTAGGGGTCACCAGCACGTCCCCATCACTACTGTGAGTACCTAACATCTCAGTACTGAGCATGGCAAGGAAGACACACAAACTATTGCCAAACTAAGTGCAACTAAGTTCGAAGTTTTCTATCAGGAAAATATCCAGTCTGCAAATATTTTATGTAAATCAGGGAAGAACCAGAGTCAAATGTTACACTGGAGGCAGTGGGAATAGCCCTCTGTAGGCACCGCGGGAGTTAGGATATTGCACTGATATGAAATAGTTTTGGAAAATACATCTTGGGACAACACCGTGAAAAAGTTTGTCAAATAAGAGGATATGGATATAGACAAAGGTAGCCTAAGCCTCAATGTTATTTTATTATTTAACAATTACACATCTACACAGTGAAGAATTTGACATACATTTATGGTTGTACACTTAAAGAGAAGTATTTTTTTTTAAAAAAATAAGACTATTACAAGGCAGTTTCACTTTCTCTAAAGCTCACAAGAAATCCATCCATTTATTTAAAAATGTAAACAAAACCCAGACAGTGTTGTAAACTGCAAAATGCTTGGTAGGATGGTAAGACAAACACTATG